CGGTGGGGGGTTGTCGGGGGGGGGGGGGGGGGCGGGGGGGACGGACGACAACCCACAACTAGAATAATGCAGAGTGAGAGTTGTAAGAATACTGAATCAGTGTCTTTAATGCAACTGCCTAAAAAACTGTAAACTAAGACAACAGTGCTGTCTAATTTTGGTTCTGTGGAGAAAACTGAATGAGTGGGATACAGAAGATACAATTTAGAAGGAAAGAAAGATAAATTAGCAAAGTTTTGCCAAACTATTTAACACGATACTTGAACTGTAATTAAACTATGGTGTGTAGCTAACTACATTTTGGGAACTAGACCTGGCACTGCATGTTTTTAAAGAAAATTTCCAGCCTGTTTTGTAGTGCATTAACAAGCATAAATACAAAACTGTGGATTAAACCTATTAGTCTTTGAATAGTACACAGGATGCTTGGCAAACAGAGGCCAAGAGTCACTAGTCTTTCCTACGAGTTTACTTACCAATATATATTGGAATATATTAAAAGAGCAGGAATACAAAAGGGCTATTGGAGTAGGCAGCAGTTGAGGTTATACAGCAAGCACTGAGGATATGGATGAGAAAAGCCAATGAAGAATGACAAAGCATCATTTTTTTCCACAGATAAATGATGAGATGCCAAATATTGTAAAAACTATGCAAATTTACAGACACATTAGGGACTTCTGTTTAAACCACCTCAGTCTTATAGGTCATCAACTGCAACTGTGTGGCTTTTCCAATTAAATGGAATCTTGAATTCCTCCTTTTTCTTGTTTTTTGCTAGTTTGCTGGATCAGATTCCAGAAATGTTTGCAGACACAAGAGAAACAGAAACTGTTTTTGCACCTGTGATTCAAGCAGGGCTGGAGGCGCTGAAGGTTAGTAAATGCAGTGTCATGGCAAATTGTTTTTGGTCTGAGTACTCTGAAGTTCATATTTTGCTAACACACTAAGACGACAATTCTAAAGCTTTTGTAAGTCTCATTGTGGTAGATGTGCTACATGTAGGGCATACTTGGCTGATTCTTAAAGTGCATGTACTTCCGGTTCTATGTAGCTATCTATCTGTTCTCTAACCAACTTTTTTCAATAATTTTTATGCAAAGTACGAGACGTGGCTTAATCTCAGTTACCTGGCTGGGTTTTGCTTTGAGCAGTTTATAAAACTAAAAAAAAAAAAAAAAAAAAAAAAAAAAAAAACCCCCCAAAATAAAAAAACCCTGCCATAAGCATTAAATAGTACTAAGTCTATCAAATTTATTAGAAATGCTTTAATTCTACTACATTATTTTACATGTCATTCATAACAGCAATAAGAATGTCTTTCCATTTATCAGGAGGGGGGTTAATTTCCTTTTCCTGGGGGGGGTTTTTTTTTGGAAGTTTTAAAACAAAAAAAAAAAAAAAAAAAAAAAAAAAAAAAGACCCTCCAACATTAAAATCAAGTGCTGAAGTCTGCCATGTCTCATTGAGTTCTGTAACCTTTCCTAAAGTTCTTCCATTCCAATACTTCATCCAGATAATTACATGCACAACCTAATGCTGACTTGTGTATACTGATCAAATTGATTGCCTGTATGATTCCATCCAAAACTGTTCATATAGCTCTATTTGTCTGTCATGCAAGTCCTTAGAAGTCTCTCTTAAACTCAGTTTTAATGACAACTGTTCAATCAAGAAATAATATGAATTACTAATTGATTGTTTACATACTGCATGTGTCGGAGAAAATAACCTACTAAACATTGGCTAGTGTTGACATAGGTTTCTGATTTAAAATTAATGATCTGTTGAAGCTTAGGTTACAAAATCCTTTGCCATTTCTGTAACTCTTTCTTTTCCACAAACTCAGTAGCTGCAAATCAGAGAAGAAAGCAATCTAACACATTTGCACAAAACCTTTTGTAGCTGAGTCCTGCTTACTGCTCTGTCTCTCCTTGGAGTCAGTCCTCTTCTCCCTGCCATGGAACTAGCACAGGTCCAGTAAAACTGAAAGTTGCTTTTCTGTAACTGACCAGTAAGCTGTGCTCCCTGTGTTGGATACCACTGAAGTAACAAAGTGATCACTGAGCCTGTGTGTCTGATAGAGTGCTTTCCTGACATAAAGAAGTGAAGTAATGAGGATGCTTGAATGCTTGTTCTGGAATCACAGTTTCCCTTACAATTTTTATAGATGTTTCTAACCTGAGCTTTTGCACTCGCTTTCCCGCAGGCAGCTGAGTGTGCTGGCAAGCTCTTCATTTTCCACACCTCTCTGCCCATCGCAGAGGCCCCAGGGAAGTTAAAGAACAGGGATGATAAGAAACTGATCAACACAGATAAGGAGAAGGTAATAATGACTTGCATGATGCTTACATTACAGGCCTATATTATACTCTTTATGAGCTAAAATAACTCTGAAGCAACATTTTAAAAAATTACAAGGGTAGCACGTAATGTAACTATCCCAGCTAATATCTTTTAACATTGCACTTTTATCTTCTGTTCTCGAGCAGAGCTGTGTAGACTTGACATCACAAGGACAGCTCTGATATGAGAACAAGAAGAGAGATCTAGATGCTTATACAGGATAAAATACCATAGCTGTGTTAAAGTAAATGTGCTGAACTTACAATTAAAGCGAGATGTGTAGTGATTTTCGTAATATTCAACAGTTCTTCAAAGGCAGGGTCAGGAAGAATTTACACAATCGTGATTTCCCTGAAGAAACACTTAAAGTATAAAAGTGTATTGACTGGGGTTATAAACTGGATCTCACCTTCCTTTTGTTACCACAAACTTCTGATCTCATCTCTGACTTCCTTTCTTAGACTTTGTTTCAGCCACAGACAAGCTTTTATAACAACTTGGCCAAGGACTGTGTGGCCCAGGGCTGCTGTGTGGATCTGTTCCTATTTCCAAACCAGTATTTGGATGTGGCAACACTGGGTGTAGTAACTTACCAGACAGGAGGCTCCATTTATAAGTATGCATATTTCCAGGTAAGAGTGACATTGGCTCAGGCTGGTATTTGATCTAAATAAGAATTATTGTTTAGTTAAGAGTTATTTTTCATACTGTGTATCATAGTGAACAGGTACTTCTTTGGAAGTAAATTGCTACTTAAATTTCAAGATTTTCACCAGAATGATTTTGTGAGCTTTATGTCTTTACACAAAATATCTCTATTAATAACAACAACAAAAAAACCCCCAAGAACAACAGCTATGCTGTTACCTTTTAGCACAATATTTTAGTAGCAGGGCACTGAGTCATGTATGATGGCTGATTTTTAGAGTAAGACTACAGGAGATAGTATCTGGTTTTAAATTACTTTACGGTTTATGGAGCAGCTCTGATTTATGGGAGTATGAAACTTCGATTATGGCTTGTGTTCTAGCTGGAGACGGACCAGGATAGGTTCCTGAATGACTTGAGAAGAGATGTCCAGAAAGAAGTGGGATTTGATGCTGTAATGAGAGTGCGCACAAGCACAGGTGGGTGCTAGCATAAATGAGTCTTAATAAATTGACCACTTCAAGCATGTCATATGGGAAGTAACAGATATTTCCCTAGTTTAAAACATCTTGAGACTAGGCAATGCAAAAAGCTCTGCTAAAGCTTTGAAATTCTAAGACTTTTGTCAAGACCAAGCAAAGATCCCTGCTGAAACCTGTCAAGATAACTTAGTGTCACTGATGACAGGATTTTCAGGGCTCCAAAGGCTGTCTGTCTTGTTATTCTTTTGAAAATTGTGGTTCATGTTGGGTTTTCTTCTTTTTTAGGTATTCGAGCAACTGACTTTTTTGGCGCTTTCTATATGAGCAACACAACTGATGTAGAGATGGCAGGTTTGGACTGTGATAAAACAATCACAGTGGAATTCAAGCACGATGACAAACTGAGTGAAGACAGTGGTGCACTCCTTCAGGTGAGGGGGTAGGCCTTCTAGGAGAAAGTAGTGAGTTGACAATTTAGAATTGTCAGCAAAACTGTGTCAAGGGGGAACCAGATCTCAAATGGGGAGAGTGCCAGTTGCCGAAGAGGATGAGGTCACTCTGAACTGAATTATTAGACACTCCTTCAAGGAAATGCTCTTTCTTTCTGCCCCTTACTATACCCTTAACCTTCCAGCATACTTGTTCTCAGGGTGACCTAGACTGCTCCAAATTACAATCTATTTTGTAGTACCACACCAGTTCCTGTAATACAAACTAACATTGCTGCTTGTTATCTTTCATTGACCCTGACTCTTAGCATATGCTTTTAGCTTATTGTGCAAGTCTTGTACATAATTGTCTTAGTTGTTTAGCCATCTGAGTCCTAGTTTTTAATGAAGTATATTCAAACCCTGCCTTTCTTATTGTAGCAGGACCTCATTTTTCTATATCCTGGCATTTTTGTCTCCTACAGTGTGCTCTGTTATATACAAGTTGCGCAGGACAGCGACGACTCCGCATTCACAACCTCTCCTTAAACTGTTGTACGCAGCTTGCTGACCTCTATCGAAACTGTGAGACAGACACGCTCATCAATTACTTGGCTAAATATGGTAAGGGTAAATATGGTAACAAGAACTGCAACCTTTAACTGCAGTTAAAATGCCTGTTGTCATCCAATGACACCTGTTTATTCTCTTTGCATCAAATGTCATATGACAATGCTGATACTTCAGTCATTTATGGGAAAGAGCGTAAAGCTGTGATGATACTATTGTTGCTTAGGACGAGAGGTACAGATAGAGGGTGTAGGCTTATCCTTCGTACAAATTCTTGTCTAAATTTTTTTAATAGAGATTTGTATTGACAGCTGTCTGAATTTATCCTTGTATTTATTTTTGGACTGGTTTAGTTCATTCTTTTAACTGTTCCAGAATTTTGTTCTGGGAATAGGAAATGGTGGCCTTTGCTCATAGATCAGTGTTAATTATCATACTTTTATGCACTGTACCCTATTTACCCTTTCTAGTTTGCGGTAAAAGCCTACAAATCCAGCAGAGATTGAGAGTTGTGTATGTTTATTGCCATTAAAATGTAAGAAACAGTCCATTAAAGAAAGATGGCCGGGCTATAAAAGGAGTTTCTATAGTACCCCATGATTTCAAGTATGAGTAAGTGTATTTTAAAGTACATGGGAGATAGAGAGTTGAAGAATATGTAATAGAATGGAGTAAATGAGCTTCTTCAGATCTTCAATAGGAATGTATCATCTCTTTCCCACAAATTTGAAGGGGAGGGGAAAAAAAGACTTTCATAAGCAATAGTTGTTTAGATTTACTTTGTGGAAGTAGCATTGTTTTTGTTTTTTTTACTGTTCATGAGCAATCACTCGATAGCCATCCATTTCTTTCCTCTTTCTGTGCAGCATATCGTGGAGTTCTGGGTAGTCCAGTAAAGACTGTACGAGATGCACTGATCAACCAGTGTGCCCAGATCCTAGCTTGCTATCGAAAGAACTGTGCTAGTCCTTCTTCTGCTGGCCAGGTAAACTCCGATGCTTTCACTTGAATCACAAGTTTGGGTATTAAAAGGTGATGAGAGCTTCTTCCTACTTAACCTACTCAAAAAAGTCAATTGCTTTGCTGAGCAGAAATTTGCAAAGAGAAGACCCAGAGAAGTAGAGAGACTGCAAGTAAAACTATAGTTGAGAATGGCTTCTTGGACATCTGTCTGGAGCCCAGGAAGCACAGCCTGCTCCAGGAAAAAGTTTTATGTTACTTTTGCCAGTCCATGATATAATTAGACTGTCAGCTTTCACTCCTCACAGCTGTACCACGCTTCGTTGGTTCATGCAAGCCTTGTTTTGTCAAACATAAGCTTATTCAGCAAGACAGCTGACCAACTTCTGTCTGCTTGTGGCTTGTAGCTGATCCTCCCTGAATGCATGAAGCTGCTTCCTGTGTACTTGAATTGTGTGTTGAAGAGTGACGTCCTTCAGCCTGGTCCGGAGGTCACAACGGATGACCGTGCCTACATTCGTCAGTTAGTCACATCCATGGATGTGGCAGAAACAAACGTTTTCTTTTATCCCAGGCTTTTGCCCCTGGTGAGTAATTCAGGATAGTCTTACCACTTGAGACTTGTGTTGTCTTGACTAGTCGTAAGGACTGGCATTTATATTTTAGGAAGGGAAAGCAATTTGAGAAGGATTTGGGATCTGATGTCTGTTGGGATACTTCACTTCATTCCACTCAGTGATAGATGTGTTAGATGAATTTGCTGGAGGATTTTTTTCCTGAGCTGTGAGCATGTGACTAGTGGTAAAGATGACATTTTTGACCCTTTCATAGTCTTTTAAAAGTCCTAAAGCTTCTTGTAACTTTATATAGTAATATAGTACAGGGCAATTCCATATACTATTCTGACTTTTCAGTACCATAGTTGCTGGAATAGCACTAACAACTGATTACATTCCTCCTCCAGGAGGCAATATTGGAACTACAGAGTAATTTCACAGCAGCCTTATGTTCTCTTTTGCTGACCAAGAGTCTCTGATCTGCTTCTGTGTCACGTTCAGTAAGAAAACTAAGCTAAGGAAGATGATGCTTCAGTCACGGCTATTGCAGTCTTATGAGTCCTAGAAATGAGAAAACCATTGGGGTCTTTGGCAGAAATTTTCAGGACTTCATAAGATGTTCTTGTTTTATAACCTTGATTTTTTTTTTTATTTTTTTTTTTATTTCACTCTAAACTAGACCAAAGCAGATGTTGACAGTGACGCCTTGCCAGCAGCAATCCGGAACTCAGAGGAACGTCTCTCCAAGGGTGACATATACCTGCTGGAGAATGGGCTGAACATCTTTGTGTGGGTGGGAGTCAACGTGCAGCAAGGCCTGATCCAGAACCTCTTCGGAGTGTCATCCTTCAGTCAGATTAGCAACACCTTGGTGAGCTGGATAGCAGAGCGGGAGCTAGTGTCTGTGACAGTTGCCCAAAACTTAAAACAATGAGAAAGCAAGTTGAGAAAACAGTGTTAAATTTTTCATATTAGGAACAAGAGCAGCACAGGTATGTGAAATTATAGTGGAAATGTCCCTAGTCTGGGCATGCCGGGCATGCTTTTGCCTAGCTTTATTTGACAAGCCACATCTCCACTGATGGTGAGGAGAACAGTCGATATGTAAATGGAACAAATAATTGGCCTTTAATTCTGATATCATGTTATATTCTCTTTTAACTAGTTGAGGTCAAAGAGATTGTGTGTTAGTGGGGGTAGACATATCTCTACCCTTATGTCATATGACAAAACTGCTGAGTTTTGTTTAATGTTGCTCTACTTGGCGTGACTAATGGGGATTGGATATCTTTCATTCCAGAGTACCCTGCCTGTCTTGGAAAACCCCTTTTCAAAGAAAGTACGGTCTGTTGTTGACATGCTTCAAGTGCAGAGATCCCGCTACATGAAGGTAAAAATGTTGTCCCCCATTTGTAGCTTTAAATTCCCTTCCCTTTTAGCAGAGCAGGTGATGCCTGACAATGCTGCAATGCTGAACTTACCCTTCCTGATCTCATAAATGTGATTCAAATAATAAGTTTTCAAGGATCTGAAAAAAAAAATTTGCTACTACTTTTGGAGTGCTTTGCTTACCATAGTTCTAAAACTAATTTCTTTCAGACCTATAATAATATACTACTGCACAAACCATGTACACGGTATTTTCCTTCGATTTAGAAAGGATTGAGACTTAACCCAGCTTAGTTACAGAATTCAAAGCACATAAGTGATACATGCTGTGATTCTGGTTATCTGTTTTTGGATTTTCGAGCTATTTAGCTTTTTGCTCTTTTTTCCAAGAACATTAGGTCTACTAATTACTCACTGTTGGTTTTGTTCTTCTTTTTTATAGTTAATAATTGTGAAGCAAGAAGATAAGCTGGAAATGCTGTTCAAACACTTCCTAGTGGAGGACAAGAGCCTGAGTGGGGGGGCTTCATATGTGGACTTCCTGTGTCACATGCACAAGGAGATTCGGCAGCTACTGAGCTAGAGGAGGGAGTGGTGCTGGAACTCAGCAGTGACATTTCAGTCTCCACTAATGACCTGATCAGAAGGCCCAGCGCCCTCAAAAAGGACAACGTAGAAATCTGTACAATTCCATAATTTTTAATACACATTGCATAAGCAGAAATCCTTTCAACCTCTCCCAGTCCCGTATGAGAGATGAAAAATTTTCCTGGTGAGGGCTAAAAAAAAAAAAAAAAAAAAAAAAGGCCTTTGATACCAGGTCTTTTACTTGTATCTAAATTGTTTCCTGTGCTTGGCAGGAGTTCACCCCCCCCATGCTCGCTAATCCTGTCGTAATGAATGTAGTTTTTTTCAGTTCACTGTACATGATTCAACATTGGGTGAAAAAGCGATAACTCTTCAAAACTTCTGGTAGTTGCTGTGTGTTTGTATGGGCGCGTGTGCATGCTCCAAGTGTGAAGAGGATGCGCAGGTTGGAAGAACAAGAGGCAGGTCAGGTGATGGGAGCTGGAGCAGCCAAACGTTTTGTGTCTCCTTCTCTGAAGAGGGAAACATGACATTGCAGAGCACAGATGTATCATGTGGCTGTCTGAACCAGAAATCCATGAAAAAGGAAATGAGTGGTAAGCCAGGAGGCAGCAGAGCAAATTTCTTTCCACAATCTTCCCTGTACTATATGTTGCTGTGCAGATCTGCAATGGAGTAAGTAATAGTTCAGTGAGCAACAATCAACGGCTTCTGAACAGCATAGAGGTGGAGACGGTGCTTCCTGTTGCGTGTGTGGTGACTCCTCCTCATTGCATGGCTCTGCAATGGTCTACTCAATCCATGTTCCATGGCCTCTCCTGCAGAGCTTACCTGTCTATCCAGATGGTGGTGGGAACAAAAGCCTCTTAACCTTAAGCAGAAAATACTTCTAACAAGGTGATGTGGGGCTGTGTAGGAACTGGATGATAAGGAAGTGGCCATTTTCAAACATATTATTGTGAATTGCAGCAAGCAAGCAGGAATTTGATGCAAATTTGAGACTGCTTTGTACCCTGGAATACAAAGAAAGGGATACAAAAACTAAGATTTAGACTGTACTGTAGTAGGTATTGCAAGTACCTGATTTCGGTTACTGAAAGCATCTGGGCCATAGTGAAGTTTCATTACTGGATGTTTATACCCTCCCCCATTCTACCTACTGATCAGCTTGCACAAAACCTTTTTATAAGCCTGTTTGTTAAACTAAAATACCTCAGACAGATTAATCCATCCACTTCGGCCACTCTGCTGCTCCATTCTGCAAGGGTGGATGAGAAGACTCCTGTGAAGAGAGAGCGAGTGTAAATCAAATTCAGAATTCTAAGGGCTTTGTTTATTCACTTTTGAAAGGGGGCTTGTATATTTTAGCTTGAACGCTTAACAAGTGTTCTTACAATACCCAGGAGTTTAAGCTACCAATAGCATTAAAAGTGGAAGGAAGAATGTGGGTGGATTAGAGAACATATTATCTGGGCTTGATATTTCAGAGGAAAGTCCTTGTTAAGATCAGAAAAATATCTGGCTGTGGTTTTAGTTCCGTATCCTGTAGCATGTATATAAATCCATTTTTCTTCTAATGCTGCTAGTTTGTCTTCCCTCCCATCACTACACAGAAAGGGGAATATGAAAATTGTAATGGAGAAACTCTTTCAAGATGTAGTTGACAGAACCTTCAGCGTTTTTGTATGAATGTGGCTGACTTTTTACTCCACGTACTGCCTCCAACCAAAAAATCTAGAGGATTTTTAACCAGGGGGGAAAAACAACTTCCCAGGAATATAAGGCACAGCAACCAGAGACTTCCACAAATACTGATTTCTAGTATTAATATTGGGGGGGTGGGGGGTGGAAATTAAATCATAAATGAACCTTTCATTTTCTTCACTTGTTTTTTCCAATGCATCTTTTAATTTGTAAAGAAATAAAAATATATTAAGATGTATTTTATGTCATTGTTAGTAAATAAACACTGCTTATTTTTCCAAACCCTGTATTTTGCGGGAGGGAGGAAATGGGAAGGGCTGAAGTCTAGCGGATTGATCCTTTACAATCCAGTCTTCTGCTGACCAAGTTCAGTCTTTTCTTTTTTTTCTGATTCACAGTGAAAGTGACAAGAAATTCAACAAGAGTCAACAGACAAAAGGTGCTGTTTAAAGTCAATGTAACTTTGCTTAGACAAAGGTTTTTTAACTTTCTGCCCCTTCTGAACTTTAATTTTGCAAGGAAATTTCCATTTTCTCTAGCAGCTTGGGTCAGATTGATGGGGGTTTTTTTTTGGTCTGCCTTGGAAAGTATTATCCTTACCTTGTGACAATGTTAACTTAAGGACTTCTGCAGTCTTAATTTTTCAGAGAAACAGAGCTCCTATTTCAGAGTTAAGATAGCAGGGAAGCTGGGTGGGGTTTCTTGTTCGGGGGTGGGTGGGGGAGTTCTAATTGCAAAAATGAAGTTGAGTGAACTGGCAGTGTAACTTGACAGTAGCCTGGAACATTGATATTGTACAATGTGCTGATAAAAACAATCTGTATGAAAGCACAAGACAATCATTGCTGAATATCCAACAATACTTAGCTTGCTGTAGAATATTTTTGGGATTACACTCCTATAGAATGTGCATTATGTCCCGAATCTGCTACTGAACTGATATATTGGGATAATGATGGCCCTTGTGCATCTTGTACATTAATTGTGTGGAGTAAATTGTGCTTGCAGGCATTTTCGTGGCAGCATGCCTTCCGATGCGCATGGAAGTTGTCTTGCAGAGCCCCTGTCTGTTAGCACCCTGTCAGGATACAAGTGGGGGAGGGAGCTGGTGGGGATGGCGTGGGGGGGGGTGGTCTTTCTGTACTGACTGTGGTGTGCTTCTGGATCGTGCCCGAGCAGTGTCAAGACCTAACTTTTCAAAGGAAAGCAAAAAGATGCCCATGTTTTAACCTGTTCCTTATACAGATGGAGAATACTTACTTGCTCATGTCCATACTGACTAATGTCCTGTATTAAGAACTACCAGTTTTAAGTATTGTGATTGGGATTAAGTTATCTCTTAAGGAATGAATTTGAAGCTTTTAGCAATTCCATAACCAAGTGGTAATTCTAGCATACCTTTTTTATTCTTATTGTGTGGCCGGAACTTAGCTTTGCAGATACCATTTTCCCATTCACAGAGTATTTTAACACCCAATGAATTACTCCAGGTTGGTACAGAAGAGCAGCTTCAAGGGAACTATCTCCATGTAGATATTAAAAAAACCCAAAAGTTCTGTTAGTAACAGATGTTTTCTGTTCCCTCCCTTTATGGTCTTGAGCAGGAGCTAATCTCGCGGTACTGCCTTGCACCACCTGAAGGCCTGCTTGGTACAGGAGCCGCCTCGCTGCAGGTGCACTTGCTTTCAGCGCGCTGTGCCTCAGCGAAACAGCTCGGGCTTGCCCCTGTCAGCTCCTGCAGCTGTCTCCAGAGCCGGATGCAGGTGCCTCAGAGGCAGAGGGTTTACCTCAGCTTGAAGTAAGTGCACGAGTAGTGCGGTGCTGCCGTTGTCGTCACAGGTCTGCCTGACGTGTCGCTGCCCCTCCGGCCGCTTGCAGCTTGCCGTGAGCGTGCGAAGTGACGGGCGGGGGAGGCAGGCGGCCCCGCGGGCCCCACCTCGGCCCTGCCCGGGCCGCGCCGCGCTCC